GCAATATGAGCTAACATTAGCCATCATAAGCTAGTGGTCATACCTGACTAAGAAAGGATGTAGTACAAAACCTCTGCATGTACAGAAGGGTGCGTTTTATTGCTTAACATTTCAAATTTTCACTTGAAAGGGTAAAAAAATATGTTATTTTAAAAGTACAGTGCCACTGTCATATTGTTGTGATAGCTGTAGCTGCTTGATCCCACCACATGTAAATTTAAAGTGGTTCTGTTTTTCCCTCCAGTCTCTCCTCACTTGCTAAACATCAGGCCTCATCACTGATATAAAACCGAGTTACTGATTTGAGAAGCAGCTGGTCTCCAGCAGCAGGTCTCCGGGGGGAATCCTCTGTCCTGTCTGTGGTCGTGTCTGCCGCTGTATGTAAAACATTTGGACCAGTTGAGGCCACTTTCACTGTGGCTGCACCTGCCCCTGCAACTGGGCCTTGTTTGTTTACTTACCCTGCGACCGTTACTGCAAGCCTCATGCTTCGCTACACAAGAAACAGCAGCTGTGTCAATTGGATTGTTTTGAAGTCCAGTAGGAGGAGTCGCTCTTTGCTGCAGCAGTTTGTCTCGGTGGTATTGATCACATGTGATTTAAGGATCATTGGGTGCATTTGAAAAGTTGTAAGATGGATGGCGCAGGGTTCTCCATGACCTAACAAAGGTCTTTTGAGTGCTGCTGTGTATCTGAGGAGGCAGACTCAGTCTGAAGAGGGACAACTGCTTTCTGCTGCGCAACATTTACAGCATGTTGTTTGAGATGTTGCATTTCTGAGGGTTAACTGAAAATAGATTTTGTCAGAAGCAGAAAGACCTTTCCCAGGTCAGACATCCCTGCACCAGCTGAGCTAGAACCAGAGTGATGTTAAAACTCACATATTCTTCAGTCCTTCATAGAGCTTTGTTTACGCTAATATGTTTTTTCTTAGCACAAAAACACATTAAATGCTAATAGCAAGAATTTGCCAAGACAATGCAAGATATTTTGTCCTCCAGTCAAGAACAGCATTATATGAGATATACTGTATGAATTGCATTTTAACTCTCAAACAAGCTTGTGTGTTTGATCACTGCTGTAATTACTCAGCAGGTCTCCTCTCTCAGACATTTACGTCACTTACAGACCTCTACAATCTGTGCCTGGGAACTTCCCTGGTCGTCTAGAAAGGTCAATGAAGAGCGTGTAGATTTCTTAACGTCCCACTTTCACATGAACTGCCATGCAGCTACAGGTGCACATATTTTACTACTTCAAAGTTGTTTAAGAAACAAGGGCGGTAACAATATGTTTTATAAAGAAGTTTAGCAACAATGAAACATATAGGCCATCTTGGGTCGGGCTTTCAGACACATAATGTGTGAAAGGGGCACCTCCTGAGTTAGTGAGGCAGGGGATGTCTTTTGTTCTCTTTGGGTTGAGGTGAGGTCTGTCTCAGACTAGGATTATCCCCGGCGGAGAAGAGAATTCCCCTTCCCAGGGCCCAGTCATGCAGTCCGTGATCTATTGTGGGCACTAATCAGAAGCTGCAGACATTTGCATATCACTAGTTATCTCAGCCGCGTGCAAGCAAGGCATGCCGTTCGGGTAGTGGAATAAAAGTTGGTTCACAGGCTGAGTCTGTGCAGCACACTGCTCAGATCTCAGGTCCTCCGCTAATGACTCATTTCCTGTCTTTGGTTACAGATTAAGATCATGCAAAGACAGAAGAATAAGAAGGGAGAAAAGGTCATGAATCAAATGAATGCGATTCAGATTGAGCATTGCATTTTGGAGGCCATTAAGTCCAAGTCAAGTCTGTCCATTCTGCATGTGCAGGATGTCCTCCAACACAGGAAGCCTTATTTAAAAGTCAGTGGAAGAGAAGGGGGGAGTCCGGGTTTGGTGGTGGAGTGAGGGGTGGGGGGGTTGTCTGTTATGGTGAGTCAGAAAGCAGACAGTCGACCCAGCAGCACGTCACATCTGATGCTTCTCCTCCTCTCTGTGTTCTCGCTCCATCCAACCTGTTTGCATGTCTCTGTCAGCACTGGCTGAGGAGCTCATGTTCAGTGAACTCATTGACCCCAGCTCTGCCGGCAAAAACATCTCACTCTGTCGCCCTCCCCGTCCTCACTTCGAACTCTGTAACCTCCCCCCCGCTTTCTTTTTCAGTAAAAATTTCTCATTCATGCACAGCCCACTGCCTCCACTCTTAGGATCAGGCTTCACAAGGCCACTGTTGATGTATATAGCTTGAGGTTGAACTTGCTGTGGTTCAGTGCCGTCGTACCAGGACAGTCACCGAGCTTGTTCTACTTCTACAATTATCTGAAGTGTCATCCTGGTCTAACACCGGCAGCTACACAAAATGCTTATAAATGTATTTATTTTATCACTTTATGGGGCCATCCTCTGTATGAAATAAATTATAATAATATGCTAGAATAAGTCACATTCTGATTGTTATTATGCACTGAATGCCCTCAGCTCAAGACCAGCATTTTATGCCCAAGGAGACCAGGCTGCACAGTACATCTCTGTCCTGCGTGACCGTCTCTCTGTTCCCCGACCATCGTTGTTTTTCTTCCTGAGAGAATTACCACAGTAGGCGCCTCTGCGTCCTTTTTAGAGCTCACAACATAGCATTAGAGAAATGGACTGAATGAGGCTTGAGGTACATACATGTTAGCACAAGGACAAATGTGACCACATAGAAAAAAAGTGAGCAAGTTGGTGAAACCTAAAGTTATACAGCATGTTTTATTTAGGAGAGTTTTTTTTTAATCTGCTTTTTCAGTAAAAGGAAAAAACATCAGTGCTGGTGGAAGGGTGGGATACGGCTGTGAAAGTCAAACATGGTGTAAATAACACATATGATTACAGTGAGGAGGAATCAGGATGACCAACCTAATAAATTCAAATATAGGACTTTTAAAAGCAAGCATTCAAAACACATAAATTTAAAAGTAAAAATACTCAAATGAGATACACATGCATTTTACCATCATATCAAAAGAAAGAGACTTAGGGCAATTATGCAACTTTATAACAAAATTAGTCCCTGACTCAGACCAAGGCAAGCGAACTCTAGGTCTGAAAGCAGCATAAGTCTTAGGAAAGGTTGCAGCGATATCCCAGTTTTAAGGTATAGCCTGATATGAAAATTGACGATTGCCATACCATGTCCTTTGCTTATCTACAATATTAAAAAAAAAAGATTCTGTATTCAGAGGGGCTGGAGCCTACCCCAGCTGACACTGAGCGAGATGCAGGGTACACCCTGGACAGGTCACCAGACTATCACAGCACTGACACGTAGAGACAGACAACCATTCACACTCACATTTACACCTACAAACAATTTAGAGTCACCAGTTAATCTGCATGTCTTTAGACTGTGGAAGGAATGCCCAGAGAAAACCCACTCTGACACGGGGAGAACATGCAAACTCTGCACCCCACAGGATCCCCCACCCTGGGTTCAAACCAGAGGCAGCAATGCTAACCACTGCAACACCATGCCATCCTAGAAGTCTCATACCGGTACAACCTCAGTCTTAATTTAAGCACAGAAACCACAATTTAACGTTCACAACCAGAACAACCAGTGGGTTCCCCGGGTCAGGGTCACTCACTGGGCCCAGTTTTAATATAATAGAGTATTGAATATCTGGCAAATGTACAAGATAGAAGTGTTTTCAAGGAGCAAAAGCAAAACCAGTGCCTAATAGATTAATATGAGTAAGATAAGTAAAAGACTAAGTCCCTGCACTTATGTCCCAAGTCATGTTGGAAGTCCTAAACTTTGAGTTTTTAGTCTTAAACTAGTCATAATGTGCATTTCACCAAATGTAATACAGTTTTAACAACAGAATAATAATACATTACATTTAGAAAAATCATCAATGCTTTTTTATTGACCACAGTGTGGTTTTTTCCAACTGGCGCTCAGTAACGTAGTTCTTCATGGTTCTCTCCTGCAATTTGATTGGATGCTGTTGGATTGGTTCAAACAAAATGGATCATTTGGGAAATTAAGTGTCAACTTGCTGGGTATGAAAAGTGTTAATGTTAGTTGAGTCAGAAAATTGAGGGAAATTAGTTTACATGTGACACACTTTTAAATTACACGCTTAATCTTTGTGCTTGGGGCGGGGGGGTGTAATGTGTTTTCAAGTCCAAGTAAAGTCACGAGTCATTGGTGTTAAAGTCCAAGCCAAGTTGAGTTTTTTTATTTTTTATAGTTGAGTCATAAAATGTATGACTTGAGGCTGATTTAAGTCCACACCTCTACTTAACAGTCAAAATGTACCAAAATGCTAACTTTAAATAAACTTTGCTCAGCTGACAGTGCCCCTAGTGCCTGTATATACTGTTTGTATTGCATCTGGTCTGTTTGATGCCATCTTTCATTTTGTTTGTCATCATATTCAGTAACAGACTCTGTACTCTGTCTCTGGCTGTACTGACATCTGTCTTGCAAGGGTATCAAATATTTATTTAGGGTCAAATAAATGACACCACATGTCCCATCCGTCCCTCGCTAACTCATGCCAAAGTAACTAATGTCTTCTGCTGGAGTGCGTGAAGAGGGAGTGGAAAAGGCTCAGTAGACATAATATTGTTGAAGGAGGATATGGACGTGTGTATACTTCCTGTTCATCTGCTGGCTCTGACATCACACTCAACTACCAGATTCCTCTCCATTCAGTACCAAAAATGACAAATATTTCCTCTGCACCAGTACACCTCATTTAATTCCCACTGAACGCAACCAAGATTAACTCACAGTTGCTTCTCTTTGCACCAGAGGATCAGTATTTAATGTTTAATGTAAAAACACTTTATAGCTGCACTTGAAAATTTCCAAATAAAAGTATTGACTGACTTTTTGCCCACTATCATAAAAAATCAGCTCTGGAAAGTGTGATTTTGATGCCTCTAGCTGCACCGTAGGCTCCACATAACAGCAACTCCACAGATAACTTACAAATGATTCACTTTTCTTTACCACCCAGAACTCCATCCGACACAACCTGTCCCTGCACAGCCGCTTTGTGCGCATACAAAATGAGGGAACGGGAAAAAGCTCCTGGTGGATGCTGAACCCGGAGGGTGGAAAGAGCGGAAAGTCACCTCGCCGCAGAGCCGCCTCCATGGACAACAACAGTAAGTTCGCCAAGAGCAGAGGAAGGGCCACAAAGAAAAAGGTACGGTCACACCTTTTATTTACACTATACTCACATGGAATAGTTTGACATTTTAGAAAATACAGTTATTTGCTCTTTTGCTGAGACTTACGTGAGAAGATCGACACCACTCTCATATTTGTCTGTCAATGAAGCCACAGACAGCAGTTAATTAATTTAGGAACATTCAGCAGCTACAATGCAGTGAACTGATGATTTTACAGTACAATATCCATCAGCCATCAGTGACTGGAGGGACGTTATACGAAAATGGCCTGTAATCATATATTAGGACATTTTTAATTACTTTGTAGTGTCTCTTCATGTAGATGGCTCCACTACGAGGAAGCAAAAGCAAAAGCAAAGCAAAACACGACTGCAAATGGGACTTAACATGCTTGACTGTCCACAGACTGGGCTAACCATCCGATCACCAGGCGCTGTACGCTATGGTTACTGCCACCATACAGCTAAAGGCCTTTGCACACTGAGTCCCTTTTTTTTGTCCTAAATTGTCACACGTCTAAAAAATAAATATGACCATGTTGTGTCAATCATGTTCTCACAAGTCCGAAACATTTGTCAGTCATTAAAATTTTCAGAACAGGTTTGATTTTCTGCGTTTTTCGCATATGACCAAGAATCAGTGAAGAAAATGTGGCGGCGGGACACAGCCACGACAAGACAGAGGAACGGGGCGCACAGAATCATTTCATAACCCAGACAGCTCACTTTCAACAGGTCAGATGGTAATATTAAGGTGGATGATGGTGTAGAGGAGGAGGATGTGGACCGCACACAGAATATGGAGGACAGAGAGGGAGGACAGGTCCACCCCTTCATGCAGCTGCGGTTCCAAATGAAAGACAGGGAGGGAGTGATGACAGTCAGATAGGTAACCTTAGTGAAGATAGGCAAAAGAGTAATTGTGTCGTTTAATTTTGTCACGTATGGCAAATTTTCTAATTTCAAATGCATCGGAATCAGTGCGCAAGGATTCCGTGCGTAACAGTGTGCAAAGGCCTTAACTGTTATTCACCTGTTATCCTGTTGCCGATAACACCAAGCACCTCGCTAGCAATAGTGAAGCCTTCTTTCATGTTAGTTATAGCAACTAGGTATACAGCATCACCATCGTCATCATCATCATCATTATCTGTATTGATGTTCAACATTAACATTTTTTGCTGGCAGTGAGGGTAATTCCACGTTGGCGCAGATTTCCAAACAGGCGTTATTTGGACAAACTGATCACATATTGGGAATCTAAATAGTTACTGTCTCGCCTGAAAAACTGTTTAAACTTAATAACAGCTTTTTTTGAAGCTTAAAGACAACTTTTTGGCAAGTAAACAATGATAAAGCAATCACAAAATCACACAGTGCTGAAGCGACCAAGTTCAGGCAAAGAATAAGGTGACTAAAGGTGACTGGTTATCATGCTATATCATGCTATATTCAATCTGAACAAAAACCAAAGTGTAAAAACAACAATTTGTAGTTTTACCATCAATTATGTTCAGGAATCTTAGCAAAATAGGTCGGAGCTTCAGATATGAGAGTGGTAACAGGCTTCTCATCTTACTCTTGGCAAGAAGGCAAACAAGCATATTCTCAAAAATGTTGAACTATCCCTATTTTTTGGATGTAAGTTAATAATACACTGGTAATTTTATGGCAGCCTGTGTGAGTTTCTGATCTTTTTCTATGCTTAGATGGCTCTGCAGGAAGGGGTTGAAGGAGGAGCAGGCAGCCCTGGTTCCCAGTACTCTAACTGGCTGGGAAGCCCAAACTCCCACAGTAATGAGGACTTTGAAGCCTGGAGCTCCTTTAGGACGCGCACCAGCTCTGACGCCAGCACCCTTAGTGGCTGCCATTCACCTTTCCCCTCTGAGCAGGATGACCTGGGGGAGTCTGATGGCCACATGATGTACCCTGGAGCGGCAGGAACCAAGATAACCTCCACCCTGCCCAGTCTGTCTGAGGTAGCTGGATCAATGGGCCAGCATGGCTCAGAGAACGTCATGGAGAGTCTGCTGGATAACCTGAACCTGCTGTCTCCCAAACCCCCCCAGCTGGGCTCTGACCCCTCACATTCATCAAATGCTGCCATGCTTCAGAGTGGCCCCTACAGCTCCACTGGCTTGACCCCGCACCAACAGAAGGACTACCGTAAGTGCATGTACAGCCAGGTGAGGATGAACTCCCTGTCCCCTGCCCTCATGCAGACACTTCCAGAGACTAAGCCGGGCTTTGGGGCTTATGAGAACCAGTATATCTGCCCAGCTGGCCTCCTCAAAGAGCTGTTGACCTCAGACGCAGAGGCCAGTAGGGACACACAGGTGTCTCAAGTGGGGAGGGGGGGTTGCCTAATGCCCAATTACAGCCGGCAGAGTCACATGGGGGGTCATAATGGGGTAAAAATGATGAATCCTCCTCAGAGTCACACAGTTCCTCATGTAAATCCACAAGCTATTCATAGCCAGGGTCCCTCAACCTCACAAGACTTGAATAGCTGTAACATGATCCCCCTGACTAGTCTGACTAGTCTTTCAGGGGCCCCTCCTCGAATGACCAGCCTGAGGACATGCATGCAGCTGCCCCGTGGACACCCAGCACACACTAACGCTGTTTCGGCAAGCTACGGCAGCAACAATGGCTACAGGGAACTTAACTCTGTTCACCCGCATAGTCACCACCAGGAGCGGCTGCCCAGCGATCTGGACAACGTGTCCATCGAGAGGTTTGAATGCGACATGGAGACTGTCCTCCATGACACCCTCATGGATGGCGGGGCGCTGGACTTTAACTTTGACCCAGCAGCTGGGCCTCATGGGTTTCCTCAGAGGGTGAAGACGACCACACATAGCTGGGTGTCAGGCTAGGACGCATCTTGGATCACAAACAGGTGAGACTGGCTGTATTCAATGCATGTATGCAAACTTAAACATATAAAATGTCCCGTTTCCATGCCCTGAATGTTTTCCATTCTCCCTCACAGGTTTTTCTCAGCATCACGCCACTGCTCACCTTCATTCAGAGGCTGAAAAATGTAAATCCACAGAAGCCACCTGAGCATCTGACCCAGTTATTTTCAAAAATGTGCACGTCTCAAGTGTCAGCTCCATGTGTAGCAATACATATTACTTTATATTCAGTAGAGTAAACAAAATAAGTTCAGACCCGGACACTGAAATAAGACACAACAGCCAAAATTTTATTCTTAACAGCAGTGAACATGCTTGTAAAGATAGCTCTGCAGAGAGAATATGAATAAGACAAGCCCGTAGTCATAGATTTCAGGGTGGACTCAGGGGACACGTCCCCCTCAGCATTTAGAACATGTGCATTTGTCCCCTGGTGAAGACCCCCATCCCCTTGTTTCATATGTCTGTCCCCCAGAGAACAAGCCATCATTAACACACTAGCCTTGTTTACAATGGCCTTTCAAAAACTGGAATTATGTGTTTATTTTTGCTGATTCGTGTTCATATAAAGATACAGCTAAGTATGCAGAAGTCATAACACAGTATCAGAGTGCCTGTCAAAAAAAAAAGCTTTGAGAAATTTCTAAAAATGTATGAGTTGTGGCCAGTCTGACGTCGAGCCAACACTGCATAATCACCTTTTGTTTGAAAGCAGTCAACAGGCGCAGCTGAGCATAGCTGTGGGACTTCAAATTGCAGTGGGGACACAACAACTCAGTTATAAGTTAAGGTTTGACCACAAACTGCTCTGTAGATCAGTGGTTCCCAACTGGTGGGTCGTGGGTCCATTCTGAATGGACCACAAGTGACTTGTAAACGAGTCAGGTTTGTACGAAACACACCTTATTTTAAAGTACAGTGACTTTCCAGCACAGAGCTTTTATTTTGAAGCGCTGTTTCCTGCTGCAGAGTGAGTGACTAATGGACAGCTACTTGACAGAGACAGCAAACTAGCTTGACGACATGGCCATACACAAGTATAAAGCTGAATATATTAAATTGTTTGGACCTTGAACTAATGACTAAGGTGAAATCTGGACCCCGTGATTGGACCAGTTGGGAACCACTGCTGTAGATAACGAAAGAAGTTTTAAAACCAGTTATATACTTGTTACCATCCAGTGAAAGGGGCCAGTTTGGGGGCCAACATGGCAGTTAGATAGCAGTATGGATAAATATTTCCATTTTTGAGTTAACTCATTGAGGGCTATTTGGTCAAGTTTAATGTGAAAATGGCAGGACTTGATAGTACATTAGAGTGGACCAAAAACCTGCTAAATCTGATGTTCTAAATGGTCTGATCAGTACCAAGAATTTTAGTTTTTTACTTTCATTTTAGCATCCAGCCCTTAAAGGAAAATAATTACAAACGCGTTAAGCTAGTGAGCTCTTTCGGCTTAAATGCTAGATAAACCTGTGTATCATCTGCATAGTGATACACATTAACTGTATTAAAACAGTGACTTATAATGACACAGGGGAAATGTACGGTGAGAACAGGATATGTCCTGAAATATACCTTTGGACAACACATAGCAGATAATAAAAAAACTAACACCAAAAATATTCTCCTTGGTGTTCACACAGATTTAATGTATATAGACAGATGTCGTGGTACAGTGTTGTCAAACATCAGCCATATTTCCTCACCAACAGATGTCATTAGAGGCGGTGAGACAAGCTGCATCTCTGACTAAAATGAATTAATCATCCATATACTGTATGAAGGTATTTATTTATGTTTTTTATTGTAATTGTTGGATTCTTGCTTTGTACTTTGGATGCTTGTAAAAAATATATGAGTGCCTATGCTGTGTACAACATATGTTGTATTTTAGTTACATTATATTGTTATGCTGTTTTTCTCATTACATCAAACTAATATTGAAGGACATTTAAGATACATCAGAGACATTTCCTTCTGACAGTTCACTGAATGTCCATATCAGTCTCAGTTTATGTAGAGAAGTGCACTGTGTGAATGCTCCTTGTTACATTGATGGTGTTTTAATGCAATACTTAAGAGTCGTTTAAAAAGTGTAGGTGTTTTGAAACACCTATCAACAAAAATGCTCCTCAACATTGTATTTTGCCTTTTTGGATTCAATGTTGTTGTCAGGGGAAAACTTTCTAAATTAAGTCGAGGACCACTTGAACCTTTGTGAGTTTAGGAAATTCAACAGTGCTCGAAGTTGTGAAAAACATTTCAAAATTGCATGTAGATAAAGTGAAAGCATAGATGACGTTCTGAAATTCTATAATGTATATATATTTTAGAGAATTTGGAGATTTTCACAAGACTTAAATGGATAGTTCAGATTTTTTAAGTGGGGTTGTAGGAGGCACTTATTCATAGTCTGTGTATTACATACAGTAGATGTCTGTTGGTATGCCCCCCATTTGGAGACGCCTCAGGAGTGACAACACGGAAACTAAGCAATGACGGAGGCAGCAGCAAAACGTATATTTGTCACCTAAGATAGTGTTCCAACTAATAAAATCTATAACAGTTTAAATTTATGCTATATTAATGATATTTCTAACCACTTTACCTCACCATCAGAGAGTTCCCAATCTATACTCTAGCCACCAGACTCCATTGACAAAAACAGTAATTTTAGCTTGCTAAGCACAGGAGCTGCTGATCTACCGCTCCCTTGATCAGATAGTTAATTTGTGTTTGTGTGTGACTTTGGTGAATCCAAACTAACCCTTGTAAACACCAAAGTCAACAATAATGCAAACAAAATAACTGATCAAGGCAGCGGTAGACCAGCAGATCCTGTGTTTAGCAGTGGTAAATTACAGTTTTTTTCAATGGATTCTGGCTTTGAAGAGAGTGATATAATGGCTTTATTTCTCTTCCTCTATCCAATGATGAGGTTAAGCAGCGAAAATATTCTTAATATAGCACACACATAAACTGATATAGGTGTTTTTAGGTAGCTAAAGCATGTTTGGTTGCTGACTCCTCCACTGCAGTACATTGCTGAGCTTCTATTTTGGACTGCTTCTCCAAACTGTGAGCGTGCCGACTGACATCTACTGTATGTAACACACTTAGTATACATAAGCACCTCATACAACCCCACTTCAAAGATCTGAACTATCCCTTTAAGATATGTGATACAGTGGGAGAGGCAGCAGGTGGAGGAGCTGATGACAAAACTGACTGGAAATAGACGATGGTCTCCAAAGTTTAGCTGACACAGCACAGGATTTTCTTTGCTATTTACCTCCCAGCAGCTACAGTTTTTATGCACCAAAGAGTCGTCTACTCTACCAAACACATTTCAAAGAAAGTGTGCCAATTCACTGTGCCTACATGGTCTCACAGACTTATAATGATGTACATATTATTTTCTAGTAGTACATATTTTGTATATGATGGGTTTAAATTAATTGTTAGGATTATACTGAAGTATTATACTGTTTGAATGATGGTGTTAGACATGGTTGTTTACATAACTCAGTCCAAATCATATCAATAAATATATGAACACTCATACCTCAAAATGTTTTACCTCTGAAGGGTTGAAGGGATTTTTCCTGCCATTTTCCTCAGTGAGTAATGTAATGAATTTGTCTTCTTTTTTGACATAGTTTTGTACATTTTGTTTGTTTGTTTTCTTTTCGTGTATTTGATTAATGCTGTTTGGACCTGTTCAGAGTGACGCACCGTCTGCCTTTGTATTTTTAATGTTTTCTTGTGCTTGAGGATTATAGCCATTAGTCTCTAGTAAATATTTGTGACAGCACAGTAAAGAATTTTAAATTAAACGTGTATTTGTGTGAAATTCTACATTTTGAAAGATTAAAAAATATGAATTCGTCTGTTTAGACCAAACTCAAGGACGGGAGTTCAGTAAACAGAATTGAATTATACCTTGTAATAAAGCAACTACTTCTGTAATTATGAAAGCAAAAATTAATGTGTGATGGGAGCATTTTAATAATGGATTAAACTGTTTAAGCTTAAAGAAGCGCTTTAGTCTGTTAACTTTCATTTAAATAAAAGAGTATAATGCAGTTTTTATATGTATAATCTTTGACATTAAACAAATGACGAAACACATTGTGCAAAGTTTGGATTTGTGTGACTTTATCTGAGTATCTTCACACAGTATTCTCAGGATTCCTTTGAATTTCTGGAACATTTTAGGACACTTCTTCCTTTTTTTCCTCAGCTTTGTAACTGTGGTCAGCATTGGCTCTTCCTATAGGTGACAGGCAGCCACATAAATGCACATAAGGTAAAAAATTATCTAATGCTAACAGTTAGTCTGTAGTTGGGGTACCACACCTAGACCTGGCAATGCAGTTCACCTTTATGTGTTCATCAGTAAGTGACCATCACAGTCTGGTGGAGTATGGTGGAGTGGAGAGCATTAGGGGACGCATCAAGACGCATTGGCCGCCATGATGCGTGCTTGCGTCTCAAAATGTGGAAAAAATAAGGAGGGCGCGAGGAAAAAGTTTGCGAACTCTTACGGACACACCCCCATTTATATGACAGTTCTAGTGCCCTGCACTCTAATAAAATAACAGTACTAGCTAGCTACAGCAGTATTAGTTAGCTGGAATGTACCGGTGACTCTGCTACCCCCTATTGCGCTTGCTCACGTTGCGTGTGTCGACTATGAAACAGCCCTTAGAGTAAGAGAAAATGAAAAGGTCAAGGCCTTCTGGGGACGCAGTATGAAAAAAGATTAAATTTGCATATTTCTACCTCAAATGAGGGAGTTCATAAATCTCAGGGTCTTGTTCACGAGTGAGGGTAGAATGGAGTGTGAGATGGATTGGTGGTTTGGTGCGATGTGGGCGCTGCGCCAGACCACCGTGGTGAAGAGGGAGCTGAGCCAGAAGGCAAAGCTTTCGATTTACTGGTCCATCTACGTCATGAGCTCTGGGTAGTGACCGAAAGAATGAGGTTGCGGATACAAGCAGTGGAAATGAGTTTCCTTCGTGGGGTGGCTGGGCTCAGCCTTAGAGATAGGGTGACGAGCTCGAACATCTGGAGGAAGCTCGAAAGGGGTCAGTCGAGGTGGTTTGGGAATCTGACCAGGATGCCTCCTGGGCGCCTCCCGCTAGAGGTGTTCCGAGCACGTCCCACTGGTAGGAGGCCCAGGGCAGACCCAGAACATGCTGGAGGGATTATATATCTTATCTGGCCTGGGAATGCCTCAGGGTCCCCCAGGAGGAGCTGGAAAGCGTTGCTGGGGAGAGGGATGTCTGGGGTGCTTTGCTTGGCCTGCTGCCCCCACGACCTGGCCCCAGATAAGCAGATGAAGATGGATGGATGAATGTATTCTTTTATTTTTTGTTATTTATTGTTATTGTTTATAAGCTAATTTGTTTGTTTGTGCTGATTTTTCATCAGCTAAATCAAATAAATATAAAAGATAATAGGCCTAATAATTATCATTGTTATATAATGGCAATAATTTAAGCTGCAATGCTTAGCTTTCACTGTGATAGCAATGCTGCTACTTTGTTAATGTTCCACAAACATCAACTCTTACTTCAATCTGAGTGTTTAGTGGGTTTGAGAAAGACCAAAACTGTAACTTCTTAAGATGACGTGATCTCGCGTGACTTGAAGTCATTATGCAACTCATCAGCATCTTTAACAGTGAAGCTGACAGTGAGGAATGAGGCTCATGCACGATGGACACCCATCATTAAGCACACATGCAGCCCACATTCTCTAATCCAGATCCTCAGGGGTCACACCAGGTCACACAGGTCAGTAAGCACCTCACGTCAAAGTCGTTTACTTTGGGGATTTTTAGCGTGTGATAAATACGATCCAAAAGATAAGAGTCATGTCAGATATGAGTCATACACATCATCACATCTAGAATCTAGAAAATGTCTGTCATTCAGCAGTCCTTAAACATCCTTTAGAAAATGATAATG